GCCTCGTCTTTTGATTCTTACATAAAAGGTCTTCATGTCTCGATATTGTGTGTGTGTGTGTGTGTGTATGAGAGACAGGGTCTGTGACACCCAGGCTGGAGTGTAGTGGCACCATCTTGGCTCACTGCAACCTCCACCTCCTGGGCTCAAGTGATCCTCCCGCCTCAATCTCCCAAAATGCTGGGATGACAGATGTGAGCACCCACACCTGGCTGGTGTCTCTATTTCTTCATATTAAATTCCCTGAGCCCTCCCCAGTAGGCTATTCATATTGTGTCTGTGGGTGTGCACGCAGGCATGTATATCCTCACACATGAATACCAGGAGGATGTGACAGGTTTGCATCAGACAATCTCTAACTTTACACCAGGGGGACCTTGTGCCAGTTGCAAGAGATCAGGACAGGTTGTAACCACTCCCTAGCTTCACTTGTACCTGGTTTGTCAAAGATAGGCTGTATTAGTAATGGTTGAAAGCTATCAGTCCTACTTACAAGCCCTTCTTGGGCTCACTCATCTGTGCCACACCCATTTTTCCCTCTAAGCAGAGGTTGGCAAACTTTTTCTTTTTTTTTTTTTTTTTTTGAGACAAAGTCTCACTCTGTTGCCCAGGCATGATCTCAGCTCACTGCAATCTCCATCTCCTGGGTTCAAGTGATTCTCCTGCCTCAGCCTCCCAAGTAGCTGGGATTACAGGCAACTGTCACCACGCCAGGCTAATTTTTGTATTTTTAGTAGAGATGTGGTTTCACTATGTTGGCCAGGCTGGTCTCACACTCCTGACCTCAGGTGATCCACCCGCCTTGGCCTCCCAAAGTCCCAAAGTGCTGCGATTACAGGTGTGAGCCACCGTGCCCGGCCAGCAAACTTTTTCTTAAAAAGACAGGTAGCAGGCCGGGTGTGGTGGCTCACGCCTGTAATCCCAGCACTTTGGGAGGCCGAGGCAGGCGGATCACCTGAGGTCAGGAGTTTGAGACCAACCTGGCCAACATGGTGAAACTGCATCTCTACTAAAAATACAAAATTAGCCGGGCGTGGTGGCGCATGCCTGCAATCCCAGCTACTCAGGAGGCTGAAGCAGGAGAATCACTTGAACCTGTGAGGCGGAGGTTGCAGTGAGCCAAGATCACCCCATCGCACTCCAGCCTGGGCAACAAGAGCGAAACTGTCTCAAAAAACAACAACAAAAAAGACAGTAAATATTTTAGGGCCGTAAAGTCTCCATCACAGCTAGTCAACGACTGCTCCCAAAAGCAGCTATAGACAATTCATAAACGGGCATGGCTGAGTTCCAGTAACACCTTCTTTACAACAACAGGCAGCTGGTCCACGCCCATAGAGTCCAGCTCCCGCCGCGGGTTCCCCGAACAGGCCTCCTTCCAGGCCCAGCTCCCGCCGCGGGTTCCGCAAACAGGCCTCCTTCCAGACCAGGAGAGGGACACCCTGTCCCGGAGCGCCCGAGTGAGGATGGAGGTGGACACAGGCATTCTGGGCCCTGGGCTGTGCGGGAGCTGTTGGTGGCTGTTGCTCAGCCTCCCTCAGGACTTCCAGACGGGCAGATAAAGGCCATGAGACAGGAAGCCTGGGTCCGTGGTCCACACTGTCAGAGCAGAACCCAAAAGCATTGCCATGCTGTGAGAACGGGGGCCCCCACTGCACCCCGAGCGGCAGTGTTCCCATCTGGGCTCACGTTGCCCACTACGCCTGTAAGTGGCTCGTGCCGTCCCACCCCACAGATGAGGAGGCCGAGGCCTGGAGACTGGCATGCCTGCCGGGTGCCCCGTGCACAGCCATGTGCCAAGCATTTGCGGCATCTTTCACGAAGGCTTCGGGAGAAGATGGAGCCCAGGGGGAGGAGTCAGGTCTCTCTCTCCTGGGAGTTCAGTGTGGTTCTTCCCCACCTGTTCTCCAGGGGAGTCCAGAGTTTCCCGGCCAGACACGGCATCACACATCTGTAATCCCAGCACTTTGGGAGGCCAAGACAGGAGGATCGCTTGAGCCCAGGAGTTCAAGTCCAGCCTGGGCAACCAAAATTTAAAAATCTCTACCAAAAATTGTAAAAATTAGCTGGGTATGCTGGTGTATGCCTGCAGTTCCAGCTACTTGGGAGGCTGAGGCAGGAGGATCGCTTGAGCCCAGGAGTTGGAGGCTGCAGTGAGCTGTGATTGCACCACTGCACTCCACCTTGGGCGACAGGGCAAGATCCTGTCTCAAAAAAAAAAAACCCCACAAAACCAAACTGCTGATCCTGTAGCCGAATTCTTTCTCCCAAAAGCCGCCCTACTCAGCACAGGCAAAACTCCTGGTTCCCACGAGAGGGTCACTTGGCAAATGTTTGCCGACTGACCGAGGGGTGAGGAGAAAGCCTTTGGTCTCTCCTGAAGATGGGGGCTCTGCTGAAGTCGGGGTGTTGGTGGCTCCTTCATTCACAACTCCTGTGGAGACCTGCTCTGGACTGAGCTCTGTGCCAGATCCGGGGGTGCTGGGTCTGGGGTCCTCAAGAAGCCCACGTTAATGGGGAGACAGACTTCATTAATCAGGGAGCCTAACAGCTGTGACAGACAACCCCCAAATCCTAGAGGCCCGGTGTGACCACCAAATCCTAGAGGCCCGGTGTGACCCCCAAATCCCAGAGGCTGGGTGTGACCCCCAAGCCCCAGAGGCCGGGCATGACCCCCAAATCCCAGAGGCCGGCGTGACCGATCCCAGAGCCGGGTGTGACCCCAAATCCCAGAGACCCGGTGTGACCCCCAGTCCCAGAGGCCGGGCCTTGACACCCCCAAATCCCAGAGGCCAGGCCCCCAAGCCCCAGAGGCCGGGCATGACACCCAAATCCCAGAGGCCGGGCGTGACCCCCAGATCCAGAGGCCCAGCATGACCCACAGATCCCAGAGGCCGGGGTGACCCCAGATCCCAGAGGCCAGGCATGACCCCCAGATCCCAGAGGCGGGCGTGACCCCCAGATCCCAGAGACCTGGCGTGAGCTGAGATCCCAAAGCCGGGCATGACCCCAGATCCCAGAAGGCAGGCGTGACCCCAGATCCCAGAGGCCAGCGTGACCCCCAGACCAGGGCGGGAGTGACCCCAGATCCCAGGAGCCGGCGTATTCCCCCAGATCCCAGAGCCAGGCACTGACCCCCAGATCCCAGAGGCCGGGCGTGACCCCCAGATCCCAGAGACCTGGCGTGAGCCCCAGATCCCAAAGCCGGGCGTGACCCCCAGATCCCAGAGGCTGGGCGTGACCCACAGATCCCAGGAGCCCGGCGTGACCCACAGATCCAGAGACCACGGCCTGCTGGTTCTCATGCACCATCCCCAGTTGGGGGCTCGCTTGGAGTACCTCTCCTCCTGGCAGCTCGGAGCCAGGCCCAGCCCACTCCCAGATCCCAGAGACCTGGCGTGAGCCCCAGATCCCAAAGCCGGGCGTGACCCCCAGATCCCAGAGGCTGGGCGTGACCCACAGATCCCAGAGGCCCGGCGTGACCCACAGATCCCAGAGACCCGGCCTGCTGGTTCTCATGCACACCATCCCCAGTTGGGGCTCGCTTGGGTACCTCTCCTCCTGGCAGTGACTCGGAGCCCAGGCCCAGCCCCACTGGGCCTCCACTGCCCGGCATGGGAGTCCCCCACCAGCCAAGGGTGGGCCCCGATCAGCGTGGGGAGGGGGGCTGTCCTCAGCCAGGCCTGAAGGGCGGGGTCCTCTCCGGTCATGATTCCCCAAACAGGCTTTGGTCCACAGCCGCACCTTCTTGTCAGGAGTGCCTCGATTTCCACCAGCCTCACCCAGGAGAGCCTCTACTTAAAAATAAAAGCATTTCAGAGATGACTCATCTCCCCCAGAGACTGTTCTCTCTGGGGTGCCTTTCAGCCATTCCACTCCCTTGAAATGTGAAGGGTCGTTCGGAGCCAGAAGAAAACACGAGAGTCACACAGCAGCCCTCTTAGCCATCGCCCCAGGGTGGGGCTGGACGTTCCCCACGACTCACTTTGCCGTTCCAGAATGAGACGTTTCTCGCGTGCAGCAGCGGAAAGACTGAGCTGTGGCACCCACACCCCGCGCAGTGGCTCACGCCTGCCATCCCATCACTTTGGGAGGCCGAGTGGGTGGATCACTTGAGGTCAAGATTTCGAGGCCAGCCTGGCCAACATGATGAAACCCCATCTCCACTAAAAATACAAAAGTTAGGTGGGCGTGATGGTCCGTGCCTCGCTGCTCGGGAGGCTGAGGCAGGAGAATCACTTGAACCCGGGAGGCAGACGTTGCAGCGAGCCGAGATCGTGCCATCACACTCCAGCCCGGGCAACAGACTCTGTCTCAAAAAAAAAGATTCTGCTGCCTCAGCCTCCCATAGTGCTGGGATTACAGGCGTGAGCCACTGTGCCCAGCTTTGTTGGACCGTTTAAGGCAAACCAGATATGGAGACGTGGAATCGCTGGACAGGCCGCACGCAGGGTGAAGCCACAGCGCGGTTATCACAGTTAGTGCCGGCCGCGCGCTGTCACCCCACGCATGGTGCATCGTCATCCGCTGCTACGGTGCGTCCTTCGGGGGCACCCCCTGCACTCAGATCCTATCTGAAGTTTCCAATCTTGGCCCCCTCCCCCAGGAGGATTCCGGCCCACAGACGTCTCCCAGGGCAGCGGACACCAGGAAAGCACGTGGACCCAGTCCTCAGGAGTGCCGGGTGCCCTCCAGCCCGGGGCATGGGCTCCTGTGGGCCAGCCTCTGCTGGAGGTTCCCGGCACCCGGCAGGGAGCCTGTGCAGACCGGCTTGCTCAGATGCTGGGGGTGTCCCGGGAGAGCTCCGTCTGCACCCGGTAGAGGGCAGGGGGAGCTGGGGTTAGGTGCCTGGGGGCGCACGGGGCCAGGTGTCCCCGGGGGTCTCCTGTGAAGCCTCCACTGCATGGCTGGGGGCTCCTGACCCTGACCTGAGGCTCCGACCACCCTCCCTCCGAGGTCCCTGGGCTGAGCCTCTGTGAACGTCCAGCTCTCCCTTGCAGATCCCGACTGGGCCTCCTACACTCTGGGAGTCTTCATCTGCCTCAGCTGCTCGGGAATCCACCGGAACATCCCCCAGGTCAGCAAGGTGAAGTCCGTCCGCCTGGACGCCTGGGACGAGGCCCAAGTGGAGGTATGGCGGGGGAGGGGCGGGGGGACCCACACAGTCCCCGGGTGGCCCCAGCCCAGGCCTCTGGAGCCAGAGATGCCGCACGGCCTGGCTGTGCCCCCCTGGGGCCTTGGGCTGCTCTGAGGGGCCTGGCTGGCTGGACCGAGGCTGTGGAGGCCAGGGCGGCGCAGGACCCCGCCCCTCTCCAGCGGCCTGTCCTGTGTGACTGCTCCACCCACCCCCTGCTGGGTCCAGCCTTTCTGTGAACAGCTCCAGGTGTGTGTGGCAGGCCAGGGAGTGAAGGCGGGTCCCGATTCCTGTGCCCTGGGAGCTCGGGAGTGCTCCCCTCAAATCCCCACTCCGGGAACATTCGGTTCAGGGTAACAGAGACCCTGTCTCTGAGGAAACAGAATGCAGCGTCCCAGGCCGCACAGCACGACCCAGAGTCAGGGTCGCATTTCCCCAGCAGTCCCCGTGCACCCCGACCCGCTGCCGTCTGTGTACAGCTCCATTACCTGTCCCCTGGGCGGCCTCTGAGGTGACACAGCCACTGCCCACCTCTTACTGTGCACCTGAAGCAGCTTCACGGAGCACTTAGCACAGCCAGGCAGGGACTCCGGCCACAGATGCCTAGTGGGGCCCTAGAGACGCCTCTCTGGGGAGGGAGACGGGTGTGAGCCAACCAGGAAGCCCTGGCATGCAGGGGGAGGTCAGGCACGCTCGAGGCGGCAGGAAAGGCCCCCATAGGAAGACCCCAAGGGAGGTGGAGAAGGAACAAGACCCCGGCTGGGGGCTGCAGCTCAGATGGAGCGTGGGGCCTGAAGACCCCAGTGGGAGGGTCACCCCAGCCCCACTTGTGGGACTTGGGGTCTTGGAGCCACTGATCTGCCTGGCTGCTGGTGAGCGGGACCTAGGGGCCGCATGGAGGTGAGAGCGGTGGTCTGGGGGCTGCTGTGGGGATGGGGAGGGTCGTAGAGGCTGGTGGCCTCCTATGCATGTCTCCCCGCTCTCCAGCACCACTGACCGTGGGCCCCTACTCTCCAACACCACTGACTCTGGCACCCCCTCTCCAGGACCACTAACCCCAGCCCCTGGCTCTCCAGCACCACTGACCCCAGCCCCTGGCTGTGCACCACCACTGACCCCAGCCCCCGGCTCCCTGACACCACTGGCCCTGGCCCCTGATCGGGAGTAACTTATTTGCTTCTAACAGGCAGCCTTGGTGCAGGGGTCACAACTTGGGGCTTGTTAGAAATCATAGGCCGGGCGCGGTGGCTCAAGCCTGTAATCCCAGCACTTTGGGAGGCTGAGACGGGCGGATCACGAGGTCAGGAGATCGAGACTATCCTGGCTAACACGGTGAAACCCCGTCTCTATTAAGAAATACAAAAAAAAACCTAGCCAGGCGAGGTGGCGGGCGCCTGTAGTCCCAGCTACTCGGGAGGCTGAGGCCGGAGAATGGCGTGAACCCGGGAGGCGGAGCTTGCAGTGAGCTGAGATCCAGCCACTGCACTCCAGCCTGGGTGACAGAGCGAGACTCCGTCTCAAAAAAAAAAAAAAAAAAAAAAAAGAAATCATAGCTGGGATCCCCGTGCCTCGGCCTGGCGTGGGGGTGGTGCCTGTAATCCCAGCCACTCAGGAGGCTGAGGCAGGAGGATAGCTTGAGCCCAGGAATTCTTTTTTTTTTTTTTTTGAGACAGAGTCTGTCTTTGTCACCCAGGCTGGAGTGATCTCAGCTCACTGTGACTTCCGCCTCCCGGGCTCAAGCGATTCTCATGCCTCAGCCTCCCGAGTGGCTGGGATTACAGGTGCACACCACCATGTCCAGCTAATTTTTGTATTTTTAGTAGAGATGGGGTTTCACCATGTTGGCCAGGCTGGTCTTGAACTCCTGACCTCAGGTGATCCACCCACCTCAGCCTCCCAAAGTGCTGGGATGACAGGCCTGAGCCACCGCGCCCGGCTGAACAAGGAATTCGAGGCTGCAGTGAGTTGTGATGGCACCTCTGCGCTCCAGCCTGGGAGACAGAAAAAGACCCAGGGACAGCAGAGTCCCTGACCCACCCAGGGCAACCCCAAATCAGCTTCTGCATTTAACGCCATGATCCCCCACACTCTGAGTTGAGGGCATCCCTGCGAATCCCCTCAGGACCCCGGCCCACCTTGGGCTCACTGCCTTTGACCCACCTTCACTGACCCGGAGGGGGGACACTGGGATGTGATATCCGTCCCTTCGCCAGGCCGTGGGCTTGTCTGAGCCTCCATTTCCTTCCCTAAAAAATGGGCAGGGTGGCCCCTGGACCGTCCCCCTCCCTGGTCAACAGGGGACCAATGGCCAATGTCAGAAAGATGATGGGATGGGTGTCCCATCTCCAAGTCACTCTGCCATCACTCCTGGAGGAAACAGCCGTGAGTCCCTGGAGGGCCTACGGGGGCGCAGACTCCTCGGCTCAGGGAGACCTGCCCATTGTCTGCATAATTACAGGGCAAATGGGGCAAAGGCCCAGGGGTGGGGCATTCACTGTTGTTGGAAAAACCCTAAATATAATCAGCAGGAGAGGACAGGGACCACCTTGGTGCCATCCTGATCTGCCTGGGGTGATGGCCGGAGGGGAAGGCTGGAGAGGAAGGCTGGGGAGGGCCCACCGTGGGTGTTACCAAGAATCTCCTGGCCGGGCGCGGTGGCTCACGCCTATAATCCCAGCACTTTGGGAGGCTGAGGCAGGCGGATCACGAGGTCAGGAGATCGAGACCATCCTGGCTAACACGGTGAAACCCCATCTCTACTGAAAATACAAAAGAAATTAGCCAGGCGTGGTGGCGGGTGCCTGTAGTCCCAGCCACTCGGGAGGCTGAGGCAGGAGAATGGCGCGAACCCGGGAGGTGGAACTTGCAGTGAACCGAGATCGCACCACTGCACTCCAGCCTGGGCGACAGAGCAAGACTCCATCTCAGAAAAAAAAAAAAAGGAAAGAAAGCAACCCCTGATTCCTGCTGCAGAGGTCCGGTGCGATGGGGACTTTGGGAGAGCACTGAGTGGGGGGCCACAAGGAGGTTCCATCCCCGTTCTGTTGTCTGCACGTTCACTTGTGCGATGAAAATCAAACATGAATCTCAGGCAGGCCTGGGGGCTTGGCTCCTGAGAGCATCTGCACCCTGGCCCCCGGGCAGAGCTGGGTCTCAGTCCGGCTTCTTGCCGGGGACTCTGTGGGGTGGGGGCTGCACTGGGCCCCCCGTGGCTCCCTGCACTCAGGCCCCTTGGCCATTCCTTGGCTGGTGGTCAGCGGGGACATCCGGGGGCTAAGCCTGCTCCTACCCCTAAGGGAGAAACGGGCCCGAGGTGGTCATCGCTGAGAACCAGACTAAGGTTAAAGGGCCAACAACTGAAGATTCTCCTCTTCTTTCCCTTTCTTCACATTTTATGTTTTCGTCCCCCCAGCTTTCTATTCCTTGATAATACCTTTTAAAACAACTGCTTCATTGAGATGCCATTCACAGCCGTACGATTCACCATGTGTAGTGCACAGCTGAAGGTTTTCTGGTAAATTCACAGAGTTGTGCAAACTTCACTGCAGCCAATATTGGGACATTTTCATCACCCCAGAAAGAAAGTCTGTGCCTTTTGGCTCTCACCCCGCCCAGCCTGAAGCAGCTGCAAATCCACTTTCTCTCCGTGTAGATTTGTGGGTTCTGGACTTTTACAAACGGGATCGCACGGTGTGTGGGCTTCGGCGTCCGACTCCTTTCCCGCTGTGCCGGGTCCCAGAGGCCCATCACGCTGCAGCCTGTGTGACAGCTTCGCCCCTTTCAAGGCTGGAGAACGTGCCCTGTGTGGATGGAACACTTTGCTTTATTCATTCACCCTCGGATGGACACGTGGGTCATCTCTACCTTATTTAATGTATTTTGACAATTTAGTGACACATTCAGCAGGTTCCAAGGGTAGCTGCAGAAGGGAGCTGTCTGCTTCCCTGTCTCCCACCTCTGAGCACCGCCCCCACCCTAGTCAGGCAGCCAGGGGTCTGTGTGGGCCTCGCTCCCTCCCTTCCTCCCTCCTTCCCTCCTGCCTTCCTTTCTTCTCTCCCTCCGTCCCTCCATCCCTCCCTACCCTCCTTCCTTCCTTTCTCTCTCTCTCTTTTTTTTTTTTTTTTTTGAGACACGGTCTCACTCTGTCGCTCAGGCTGGAGTTCAGTGGCGCTATCATAGTTCACTACAGCCTTGAACTTTTAGGCTCAAATGATCCTCCTGCCTCAGCCTCCCAAGAAGTAGCTAGGACCACAGGCATACACCACCATGCCTGGCTAATTTTTTTTTTTTTTTAGAGACAGAGTCTCACTCTATTGCCCAGGCTGGAGTGCAGTGGCATGATCTCAGCTCATTGCAACCTCTACCTCCCACATTCAAGCAATTCTCCTGCTTCAGCCTCCCGAGTAGCTGGGATCACAGATGTGTGCCACCATGCCCAGCTAATTTTTGTATTTTTAATAGAGATGGGGTTTTGCCATTTTGGCCACGCTGGCCTTGAACTCTTGGCCTCAGGTGATCCACCCCGCTTGGCCTCCCAAAGTTCTGGGATTACAGATGTGAGCCACTGCGCCAGCCCTGGCTAATTTTTAAAAAAAATTTTTTGTAGTGATGGGGTCTTGCTATATTGGCCAGGCTGGTCTCAAACTCCTGGACTCAAATGATCCTCCTGAAATGCTGGGATGACAGGTGTGTGCCACAGCACCGGGCCTAGCGTGTGCTTCTGAGAGATGTTCTTTGCCTGTTGAGAGCACGTGGAGCCCCTCGCCCTCCTAGGGGGAACCACGGCCTGCTTGCCATGTCCCCTTGGGCTGCACATGCCAGTCGTTTCCAGACTGTTCCTGCCATTCCCGCTGGGCCGGCAAGCAGCCTCACTGATGCGTCACTTTGCACATGTGGAAGTACATTGGTGGCCTAAATTCCTAGAAGTGAAAGTGCAAGTTCAAAAGTTACGTGGCTTGGTAATTTTGGAGACATGTTTGCCAAACTCTCCACTGTAA